ATCGACGATAGTAGCTTGTGGAAATTCAGTTGGAGAAGATGGAGATTCTTGAAGATTTATGAGTTTTTTGTGTTGATGTATTCTTGAAGAAGATGGGAGAAAAGAGAGAGAGTTTTTTTGTGTTGATTTTGGAGGGAATGAAAAAGTGTGTGCAGTGTTGTTTGAGGTTTGAAATTTGAAATATATAGGCTTGGCTCCAAACTTGAATTTTCAACTTATTTTGTGCACAGTGCGAGATCGAACCGCAAGCTCATGATAATCGGTGCGAAATCTTGACGCGCAACTTGAAAGAAAGCTCTTGGTAACGAAATTTACGATGCAACACTGAAAGAATCGTCTCGATACGATAAAAAATGAGCAAATAATGTCGTCTGGAACGACGAGAAACATAGTGTAAAAAAATTCATAGTGCAGAATTTTACAACTTATTTTGTGTACGGTGCGCGAACAAACCATAAGCTCATGATGCTCGGTGCGAAATCCAGATATGAGCCCTGAAGCAAAAATATCGACGACAAAATTTATGATGTCGTGCCGAAAGAATCACCCTGATATGATAAAAATCAAACAAGTTATAATTTTTTGAATGGCGAGAAACAATGGACTTACTTCACCGTCTTGAATTTTCAGCTTATTTATGTGCGCACTTTCGGATGCAAACCATGAATCGAAGTCTTCGGAGCACAATCTGAACTCGGGCCCTGAAGCAAAGTTAAAGCTTACAAAAATTTTGATCTCACGCATCAAGAACCGTCTAAATAAAATAAAAATCGAGAGAGTTACGATTTTTACAATATCGAGAAATGGTCCATTAGAAAACCAACTCAGTATGCAATTTTTTCTGGTAATTGGCACTTTTGGAAACCTTCTGCAAAAAATTAGCTCCTGACCCGAACATCCGGACTGAAGATAAAATCAAGACTAATTTTTTGCCCAAAAAACCATCTGAAAACATTGAACCAGATGAAAGTTATGAATTTTGGAATATCTGGAAAATAATGGTTCAACACACTATTTTTCACTGTCTTTTCACTATATAGCTTTTGAGTAATCGCGTATTCGAAGATCTTCCTCAATGAATTTGCTATTGAGCCAAACACAAAAGTTGAAGGAATAACATGAAGGTTCAAATTCTCCAAGAGGAACTCAAGATGACTTTCCAATCAGAAATTACGAATTTTTAAGCATTCGAAAACCAAAGAAATGGTAAATCCTCTATATAGCGCATTTCAGGTATTTTGCGCTTTAGAAAATCTTCTTCACAAAATTAGTCTTCAATGTGAACAGGTGAAATGAAGAAGACCTCAAACCGGTTCTAATTACTGAAGAATCAATCTCAAACCATTTTTTGATCTCGAGTTGTGAATTTATGAACTTGAAACGCACTGTACTGAATTTTTGTCTGCATTGTCTCAAATCAAATGAAACACTTGACTTTTTGCATAATTCAGAGCATGTTGGAACACATAAGAGTTTGATATGATGATGAATTGATTGTTTGTTGATTGAATAGCTTGTAACACATGAATAAACCACTTAAACTTTGAAAACCATGAGTTCTGCTTCACAATGTTGCTTAATGGAACATTCAACTTTCGTAATTCTTTTCACAGAAAAATACCTTGATTCTATGAGCATATACCTAATGACATGTATGTATGCATATGATGATGAAGTATAAGCCAATTAGGGTTAAAAATGAAGATGGAAAATTTTAGGGTACAATAATCATGCCCGACTTCAACTCATCAATTTCCATTTAACTTCTATGTCATGTTGTTATTGGTCTTCCATTCTTCATCTGATGTTAGCTCTAGTCCCGTAGTTATGTTGAGGAAACAACTTGATGATTGACAGATAACTGGAAGAAAGAGACAAGTGGAATAAGATACTTGGACAACCTGGATGTATTCATGAATTATGCAAAGGATGTAAATGTTGGTTTTTATTTGACTTTCAAGGAACTCAAGATACTAAATTGTAAACATCAAAACATGAGGAAAGTAAATCATAAATTGGATCAAAGCATTAATCAAGTCATCACCAAAGTCAATCATCAATTTTGGTGGATTAAGATTTTCACCCTATCAACACTCAAGATCCATTGAGTTTGGTGAAACTTATGATGTTTACAAAGAAAGACCTCTAAATTCCTTGAAAACCAAGTGAAAAAAGAGTTTCATGAATGCATGGTTATGTAACAATCACAAACAAGGTTCAAAGGTTCAACGTCACGAGCATGGAGTCAAAGGGTGATAACCAACCCACAAGGTATGTACTAAGGGTTCATTTGTACCTGTAGAGTAAAGTTCTAAGAATTCTCTGAGTTGTCGATCCTTCTTCAGATATTACCGGCTTACACGATTCACTCGTGGTCCAATAATATTCTCAAGAGAAACTTGTGTGAGTGCAGTATCACGTAATAACTAAATCGAGACTACTCTTGGATAGTCACTACATCCTAAAAGGCCAAAGATGAATTAAGGGTTCTATGATTGCTCAACTTTACAGGCTCTCGGGTCGAGATAATAATGCTTTCACGATTAACTAGTTCAACATTATTACCCCAAGGAGGCCTCCACTGAATGGGGGATCTCATATCAGCTTAGTAAGGACTCACTCCTAGTAAGCCAACATGACTATACCACCCATCCTAAACTTAAGTGTACTTGCTCTCAACTTTTGCTACTCTTATTCTAGATTTACAATTTCCAAAGGATTTTCAAACAACAACAAAACCCTACACGCCTCTCTCTACCAAAAAGAAGCACTCATCAGTTCTCTCATATCTCGCAAGGATTTTCAAACAACAACAACAAAAGATGGTCCTCTCTCATGAACACGATATCCTCATTGTCTGAGTCTCTCGGTCATTTCCCATGTCTTCACTCTCGATTCATAATAATAACAACATATCTCAGTTTTTGATTATGTTTTTACTCGGTTCAATTTCACGTCACACGAACAACAACTTACATACAGTTTTCACTTGATTTCAGGATGATAACGAAGATCCAAACAAAAGCAAAATCAAGCATTCATGGGAAATAATTATTAATAGTATAGAAACGTCATTGTATCAAGCAGAAAACAAATGAAGCAATAGTGATATGAGATTACCGACATGAATGAGGTTCTTCCCGATAGGCTCTTTCCTCGATCCTTTCCTTCTCCTTTTGTTTCAAAGTTTCTATTGATTCTTGCGTTTGCTTTAACAGGTTCAGTTTTGTGTTAAAAACCAAACACGAGCAGAAAAGTTGTGGTTCACCTGTGAACACTATTGCGAAGGATGAAGGTAAGTTTTTATGGATTGAATGAAGTGAGTTTATGATGACAACTGATGCAGTATGGTTGGTGGTGTTATTGATGGGTGTTGATGTTCTTTGTTGCAGATTAAAAGAGGTTTGTAGTGAGTTTTTGTATTGAGTTGAATATTGAAAGTATGAAGTTACTATGGAATTTCTGCTTATCCTTGCAAGCGTATTGTTGGTGTAGCCGTGAAGTTTATGAGGCAGAGATAGTACTTTCAAACTTTTTTTCTCCTCTGTGTGTTCTTGATGCTCTCTTTTTGTAGGAAAATGAAATGCAAATCAGAGATAAAAAGAGTTGTTGGTTGATGAATTTTTGAACAAATTTGATGTCTTGTTTTATTGCTTTTCGATGTAGTTTTGAGTTGCTCATATTTGTGCAATTTTTGACTGTTTGGTGCAAGTTGGAGCAGCAGAGTAACAACATTTTTTTTAGAGTTTTATGAACTGGTTTTAGCATATGCTCCCTCAAACTTGCTTTTCTTTCCTATTTTTGACAAAAGACAACAAATAATAATAATAATAATAATAATAATAATAATAATAATAATAATAATAATAATAATAATAATAATAATAATAATAATAATAATAATAAAAGAGAATTTGTTAATAATACAAAAATAAAAAACTTAATAAAATAAATATTAAAAATAAATAAATAAATAAACAAACATAGAGCTAAGTAATTAATATTTTTAGTGTTTTTTTTTAATTAAATAAATAAAAATAAAAGTGTAATTAAAAAGACAAAAGGACTTACGTATTTTAAAAAAATGTCAAACAAACTTGTATATATTTATATATTTTGAGATTTTGGAATTTACAATGAAATAAAAAAAATAATTTAAATGAAACCATAATTTTTTATATTTTAAATAAAGAAATAAAAATTACAAGTAAAATAGAATGATGGTAAATGTATTTTTATGATATTTTGAAATAAAAATGAAAATGTTAAAATAAGAGATAAAGAATGTGCAATATGCACGATGTAATAAAAGTCAATCGAAATACAATCAAAATTAAATTAAATTTCACTAAATTCACAAAAGCAATCTCTAACGTCTCCATTTTTGTGGTTTTTAAAGCATAATCGACTTTTTATTTGTAAAGAAAATTTATAGATGACGTCAAAGAGAATCATATCTTAAAGAAATCGCTTAAAAATATCAAAATTTGAATAAATTATGAATTTTTTAAAATCTGACTCGAGAATTGACAAAAATAAATCAAATCACTTATGAACATTTGTTATGCAATTATACAACTGAAAAATGAGATCTTATGTAAAAAGTTAAGGCACGACGATATCCAACAACCTAATTGAGTTAGAATAAATCTTAAAATTCAATAATAAAATATATAACCATTAAACATAAAAAAAAAATATTGAAACCAATTTAATTTCTTATTATTGAATCCCTCATAAAGATATAAATTGGGAAAGGTAAATCGTATAGCAACAATTTAAAAAAATTGGAATGGAATTGTCATTTATTTAAAATTGGAATTATTCATTCAATGATTAAATTAATAAAATTGATGAGTAAGTTTAATAGATTTAGAAAATAAAAAAATAAAAAAAATTTATTATGATTTAGCTGAACGGAACCGGGAGGGAATGGAAAATTCAAAAAACTTTGGAAAGCAGTAATTGTGAGAGCAACAGCAAGACTCATCACCTCTGAAATGGAAGACGCTCCCTCTCTCGAACTTGAAATCCTCAACGGTCCTCGCAAAGGCGAAACCCTCCAATTCAAACCCGGTTTCACCGTCAAAATCGGCCGTGTCGTTCGCGGCAACAATCTTCCCATCAAGGATCCAGGTATTTCCACCAAACACCTCTCTATCCAAATCGATTCTGGTAATTGGACAATCCTTGACCTAGATTCCTCTAACGGCACCGTTTTGGACGGTGTAACACTTCCTCCTAATACTCCTTTTCACCTCAGTGATGGATCCGTTGTTAAGATCGGTGAGGTTACTTCCATTGCTGTTAACTTCATTAAACCCCAGAACAACGCTACAGTTAGTACTGAAGTAGAAGGGAAACCAATGCGAGGTAAAAGAGGTAATACTAAAAGTAATAAAGGTGTCAATTCTAGGGTTCTTGTTCAGAGCATCGATGAATTTGAATCTGGGAATGTGGTTCAACTGGAACCAACTAGGGTTACTCGGAGTACGAGGAGTATGCGGAGTGGAAACAATGTTGTTTCTGATTCTGCTGCTGGGAATTTGGATGTTATTGAAGAAAAGGTGGACGAGCCGAAGAAGAACACGCGTGCCACGCGGAATTTGAAGACTAAGCAGAAGACCGTTACGTTTAGTGGTTTGAGTATTGGGGATTCGGAAGCTCAAGAAGAGAAAGTGGAAGAGTTGAAGAGTGGGAGGGTGACGCGAAATGCGAAGAATAAGAATAAACAGGATGTGATTGGGATTTCTGAACCAAGTATTGTGGATTTGGATGATGTGGAAGAGAATGTGGAAAAACGGAAGAATGTAAGGGTGACACGTAATGGGAAGAATAAGAATAAGCAGAATGTGATTGGAATTTCTGAAACAAGTGTTGTGGATTTGGATGTTGTGGAAGAGAAGGTGGAGGAAACGAAAAGTGCAAGGGTGACTAGGAATGCGAAGAATAAGCGGAAGGTGATTGAGATTTCTGAATCAACTGTTGTGGATTTGGATGCTGTGGAAGAGAAGGTGGAGGAACCGAAAAATGTGAGGGTGACACGTAATTCGAAGAATAAAGGGATTGTAATTGGGGAAAATTCAAGCTTGGCGGATGGGGTGGTGGATGTGGAGAAAAAGAAAACGAGGGGTGGTGCCAAGGGAAAGAAGAAGTTACAGGAAGAGTGTGTTGATGATGGAGATGGTAAAGACATTTGTGATGAGAAAGACAATAAGAATTTGAACAAGGATGATAGTTTGAACATGGATGAGAATTGGCCGGATTTGAATAAGATTAGTTTAGGTGAGTGGTTTGATTTCTTGGAAGTTTTTTTGCCAAAACAGACAAATGATGAAGCTGAAGCAATTATTGATTCCATGAGACAAAAAGTTGAGAGACTTCGCGAGTACGTCATAATGTATCAGAATCAAAAAGCTTAAACTACCCCTGGAATGGAATTATCATGTGCCATGCTCAGAACACTGCCACTGCATGATTCTAGAGTCCCAGTTTATGTAGTTACCGATAGTTATGTGAAGTATTAGTACAACTGTCAGGTAGTTAGATTTTGTTAACTGAAGGAGTTCTTAGCTAGCACTCTTCTGTCACTCTCCAGAATATTCATTCTATGGTCACTTGTAAAAATAGTGTACCTCTCTATTATTGCTTTTAGTGAAATAACTCAAATTTACAGAAACTGTTTTATATTCTTGCATCCTTCAATGTTATTTCTCCTTTTCAACTTGTTGGTTTTACAAGTTCTGTTCACTTTTTAGTTTTTAATTATTACTAGTATACACAAACATAAAGTATGGTTTTGATGAATTTAACTTGTATAACTGTTGTATTATGTGCAATAGTCTGGCACTGAATTGTCTTGTAAGCTGGTTATTGATTTTTGCAATTATTAGATGAGGTTTGAGGAAACTTGAGTGAGATTGACAGCTAGTCTGCTAGTGCATCTCTTGATAGCAGCCAACTTGATAATCAACATAAGGAGCAAAAGCAATCGCTGTATCTTCAAAGAATTGATTAGAATGGGCAATATGCTGCAAGTGCAACTATGATGGCACATGAAATTGGTTTTCTTTCTGATTCTAATTCAGATAATGAAGGGAGTCATGATGTAAATGTCTTAAATTGTGGGGTGAATGGATCTTCTCAGATGAACTTCTTTGCTGGAAATAGGGACAGTGATTCACTCATGGTGCAGTATAGTGTAACAAAAATGGCTGAATCAAGAACAGGAACAACCTGCTGCTAAACGGAACACTTCTTGTAAAATAGTGAATATTTCTGTTATTTTAAATATGTAAAGCAGGCACAATATCAGGAACCAAGAGAAATTCAGAATCTAACATGCATATGGTGATGGAGAATGCAAATGCTCTGAAAATTAGTAATGGAAATGTGAGAATCTCAGATCTAACATGCAACTGGTGAAGGGGAATGCAACTGGACGTCTCACATTTCCATTACTGACGAAGGGGAACGCTCAGAGAATCTCAGATCTAACATGCAACTGGTGAAGGGGAACGCTCTGAAAATCAGTAATGGAAATGTGAGATGTTCAGTAATGGTGTTCAGTTTGGATTTCATATATAACTATCACCAGTGCAATGAAGCTGAAATGTAAGGTTTGCTCTGTTGCACATGTCTGTATCAAACGATTTTCTTTAATATAACTGTCCTCTATTTATATGCTACCAGACAACATTTTAAACTGCATAGTATATCATCTTTTAGATGTATGAGGTCTGTATCTATCTCTAATCTATATCTTTCCTTGTGTCATTGAGTGGCTGATATGGGCTATGGGAGAAGAGTTTTCATCTTTCACTTCTTAGCACAAGCTGTTTCTCAACTAAATATAGCCTGCATCTTGTAACTCCATCAGTTGTGCAGCCAGTAAGCACTACAACTTAAACGATGGTGACTGGTGAGTAATAGTATGATGTAAGAGTGAAGATAAATCTATACAGAATCTTGAGAAAGGATAAGCTTATCCTATATATTCTTCGATATCTACCTGATTGTTTGAAACTGTGACTTGCTGACATATTCAATGCTAATTAAGTTTTTGGTTAAAAAATTGTTATAGATTCTAGGCTTTTTAATTGAGGTACTACTGCTGTAAAAAAAACAGAGTTGAGGTACTTACGTTTGAGAACCGGTGGGGAGTAATAATGTAATTTTACTGTGTTTTATGTTTTTGTTGTACAAGACATGATTATGGGAAAAAGTTACTATGTGATATAGACATCCTTGTCCTCATAGATTAAATATGTCTTCATTCTGCCAATTTAATTGAGTTAGATCATGAGACTTTTCAATTGAGGTACTACTGCTGTAAAAAAAACAGAGTTGAGGTACTTACGTTTGAGAACCGGTGGGGAGTAATAATGTAATTTTACTGTGTTTTATGTTTTTGTTGTACAAGACATGATTATGGGAAAAAGTTACTATGTGATATAGACATCCTTGTCCTCATAGATTAAATATGTCTTCATTCTGCCAATTTAATTGAGTTAGATCATGAGACTTTTCATAGGTTCTCTGATTTTAGAATAAAATAGAAGCTCGGATATTGTTTTTGTTTTCTTTACTGTTACGTAACAAATTCTTGCTATTGCCTTCATGTTATATTTGGTGAATGGTCAGAATAGACGTCTCAAAGTTGAATTCTTGCTACTCTATTTTTTTCAAACAAGTTGGCTACAGTAGTAATATAATAAAGCGATTTTAGAAACATCAAGTAACTAAGTTATGTTATCATCTGGGAAGAAATGGAGGCAAGTCAAGAAACTCTTCCTCTCAATACATGCCATGTCCAAAAGCCGTTGCTTATCATCAATAGGTTACACATGCTCCTTCATTCCACAGCCTTAGGCGTCTTGTTCTATTACAGGGTGAGCTTTCTTTTTCAGAATCCAGAAAACAGGGGAAGCCATTTGTTACCATGGCTCCTTGTTTTTGCATCAGAAATCATTCTCTCCTTCATTTGGTTCCTTGGCCAAGCTTATCGTTGGCGTACGGTTTCGCGATGTGTTTTCCCAGAAAGATTGCCAGAGGACGACAAGCTCCCTGCTGTTGATGTGTTCATATGCACCGCAGATCCAATTAAGGAACCCACTTTAGATGTGATGAATACTGTTTTATCATCTATGGCACTGGATTATCCTCAAGAGAAGCTTCATGTGTATCTTTCAGATGATGGGTGTTCCCCCATGACCCTGTATGGTGTGAGAAAAGCTTTTGAGTTTGCAAGGTGGTGGCTTCCCTTCTGCAGAAGATACAGAATAAAGAACAGGTGCCCAAAAGCTTACTTTTCTTCTTTGGAGATTGATGATAGTGATTTTGCCAGAAGTAGTGTGTACATGGAAGATAAGCAAAAGATCAAGGTTGAATATGATATGACTATATTATTGAATTTCTATAGATTGCAGAATATATAGAAGTATTACATTATGATGAAAAAATCAACAATTTTCAGGGAAAGTACGAGGCTTTTAAAGAAGAGATACAGACATTCCAACAAGATAAGGCCCTTTCCAAATACAGTGTTACCGTTGGAGATCATTCATCTGTCATTGAGGTATAATAGCACTTTATTGTTGATATATCAATTTGATTGCTTTAATTTGCGAAGTGTGAGAGACTTGATATCCCACAGAAAGAGAATAACAACTATGCATGACAGCTATAATTTTCTGAGTTTCTAGTGTTCTCAACAAATTACAATTTTGTGACAACAAAAATCAGTCAAAACTCATGTGCAACTCATATATGTGCTAACTTTCCACCATGTTCACTTTATATTAGGCACAATTCATATGAATTTTGCAGGTAATGCAAGAAAATATCATTTATGATGTGGACAATGTCAAAATGCCTCTTCTTGTCTATGTTTCTCGAGAAAGAAAGCCTTTTAGTCCGCACCATTTCAAGGCTGGAGCCCTCAATGTCCTTGTACGACTATTCATTTATCTTCCAAATTATATATACAAAACTTGCTTTACAAACTCAGCAAATGTAATGATTCCACCACGTCTTTCGTAAAAAATCTTTCAGCTTCGTGTATCTGCTGTGATGAGTAATTCTCCCTACATCCTAGTTCTAGATTGTGACATGTTCTGCAATGATCCAACTTCAGCTCGATATGCCATGTGTTTTCACCTTGATCCAAAGATATCATCTACCTTAGCTTTTGTTCAATTTCCTCAGAAATTTCACAACATTAGCAAGAACGATATCTATGACAGTCAGCTGAGATCATTATTTACGGTAAGCACGTCAAAACTGATCCTTTACGATACCGATGCGGTGGTCCTGCAACCTTTGCAGTGTTAAATTAAATCATTTGAACAATTCCAGTTACAATGGCAAGGCATGGACGGGCTTAAGGGACCTGTGTTGTCAGGTACAGGCTTTTATATGAAAAGGATATCGCTGTATGGAAATCATGCGAATGAAGGTATTGAAAACAAAGTGTCTTGTAAAACACTAGATTGGTATTGATAGTATTGAATTAGGAGAGACTAAGAGACATTTAGGTTAAATCGTATGTTTTGAAAAACACTACGGAGACTTTATTATATATAGAGAGATTACAACTAATGCTATGGTATAGTCGATGTGGGACTATTCTACATACAGATAGATTTTAACAGCGTTGACTTATAAATATAGCATGTAGGTTATGAAGCAATGTACTTTACTGTTGAGTTTTAAATGTTAGGAGGAAAGAGTCATCTGCTGCCACTTCAAGAATATTTTGGTTCATCTAATGAATTCATCAAGTCACTTACTCAAAACGACACAAGTGTTCTTTTATCGGGCCAGAATTCATTGCTCGAAGAACTTCACTTGTTGGTTTCTTGTAGATATGAAATTGACACTAAATGGGGGCAACATGTAAGTAGACTTTATAACTGAGATACTACATCAAATTTATACAGACAAAAAGTAAATGTATAATTTTGAACTGTTTCAGGTAGGTTTCTTATATGATAGTGTAGTAGAAGACTTCCTTACTGGATTTATCTTGCATTGCAATGGATGGACTTCCGTTTTCTGTGAACCGTCTAGGCCACAGTTCCTTGGTACAGCTACAACAAATTTGAATGATGTACTAATCCAAGGCACTAGATGGTATTCTGGTTTGTTTGAAAATGGTATAAGTAGGTTTTGCCCCCTTATATACGGGCCTTTAAGGATGCCACTACTGCAGACTCTATGTTTTGCAGAACTCACATATTTCCCTCTATATTGCTTGCCCCTTTGGTGTTTCGCTACCATCCCTCAGCTCTGTCTACTAAATGGAATACCGTTATACCCTAAGGTAAATTGCCCACCATTCAATTTTTTATTATTACACATTTTCTTTATACTAAAATCATCTTTTCTTACTTTATTTTGACAGGTTTCAGATCCATATTTCATTATCTTTTTATTCATCTTTCTATCATCACTTTCAAAACATTTACTAGAAGTATTCTTAACTGGGGGAACACTACACAAGTGGATCAATGAGCAAAGAATCTGGATGATGAAATCAACCACTTGCCATCTATATGGATGTTTGGATGCTTTACTGAAGAAAATCGGTATAAGAGAAGCTAGTTTCTTGCCTACAAATAAAGCAGAAGATCATGAACAAACTCTGCTATACCAAACCGATAAATACGATTTCCGAGCATCAAATATCTTTATAGTTCCAATGCTTGCCCTCCTCACAATCAACATATGTTGCTTGGTAGCTGGTGTCTATAGAGTGATATTGATGGGTGATTGGGGCAAAATGTTGATACAGATTGTCCTTGCAGGTTTTATCATTACAGTCAACTACCCTGTCATTGAAGGGGTGGTGATAAGGAAGGACAAGGGACGCATTTCACAGTCCGTAGCTATACATGCTATCTTGGCTACTATGTTTCTTTTGGCATTTTATAAACTAGTGTTAGTAAATGTATAGTATGCTTTATAGACAATGTACTGTGATATGTATTCTCCTACGTGTTTGTAAATTTGATATAATGTGTCTGTATGGAAAATTAGTGGTTTCGTGTTTTTGGATTGACTTTAACAATACTGTTCTAGAAAAATCTTCATATAAATTTTTTTTCAAAATATTGTGAATGAAAGATTTTTTATGGTCGATGGTTTGAAAGAGAGTTTTTAATTAGTAAAAAAAAATGTGATTTTAATCTAGAGAAAGTCTTTTCCTTCTCCTTTTATAACTAGTGTGTTGGATTGATGATTTCTTCTCTCTTAATTTATGTATTTTTGTTTTTAATATGATGTGTGGTGTAGTGATTTTGAGAGTAAAGTTGTTACTATTTTATGTATATTAGTGTAGTGTGGATTTTTCAAAATTTTATTTGTTAAAGTTGTTGAAATATATATTGTAATATTAGATTAAAAAGTAAATTTTATTTTTGAGTATTTTGAAATTTTCAAGTCGTTGAAAAAATGTTAAATATATATTTTTCTCTATTTTAATAAGCCAAATAATGTCACTTAAAATCACAAAATATCTAGATATTTTGTAAGTAAAATTATTTTATTGAGTGGATGCAAAAAAAGATCTTTAAGTGATTTTAGAAGATAAGGTAAAAATGTTTATATTATTCTCTTTGTACATGTTACTTTTTTTTTTGGCATATGACAAAAAAATAAAAAATGTATTTTTAAATATGTATATTAAAAAAAAAATTGTTGTATTTTTTTAAATATGATATTGGATGTATTCAGATAGATACACCTAATAGTCATGCAAACAATATAACAAATATGTAAATATCAATAATTTTCATATAAAGAAAAACAATTGAAAAATAGAAAAACGATTCAAACAAAATTATAAAAATCTGAAAATACAACTAAAAATCAAATTAAATATCTACAAATTTTTTCAAAAATATGAAAACGAAAAATGAATCAAATAAAATAGAAAAATAAGGAACTTAGGGTTTTTAGGGTGGTGTTCGCATTTTTTATGAGACTTTGATTTCTGATTTATGATGAATTGGTACAAGAAAATTTCGATTCAGAGTCAGAAATAGAGTTTTTTACGCTAGATTGCGTAAATGCCAGAAACGCAGAAATGCAAGGTCCAGAACGCGGGAATACAATTCATAGGACTCTAATATTGATTAAAATCGACAGAGTTCCTGACAACGATATCAATTTCAATGAAAATACACAATACATAGATTTAGGAGTGTTTTCGAATATACATCTCCGAAGTTACTCTAGAAAATTTCAGAGATACATCTCCAAACTAATTTATTGCTTGATTTATGAATAGTGCATTCCAAAATATATCTCCGAATATATCTAAAAATATTTTAGGATTTTTAGAGGTGCACCCCACTCTATATAAAAGCGCAAAGAGAAATTTCCTATAATAGTGTAGTTTGAACTTTTTAATTCTTTTTAAGTTATAGATCTAAGTGTTGTAATATTAGATCTAAAAATACCATTTTAAAATATATTGAGTTGTTGAAAGTGTTAAAATTTATTTCATTTTTAACTTAAAAATACAATATTTAAATATTTTGTAAGTATATTAATATAATGTGTTTTAGGAAGAGTGGGGTGTTATATTCTCAGGTAGATTTATTTTTTATTAGAAAGTCAGATAGATATATTTGTTCAGAATGTAATATTATATTGAAGAGAGATTGATAATTCAACATAAAGTCATATCATATTGGAGAGAATAAGTCATATTGGAGACTCTGTGGATCAAGTGGAGGCATTTGAAGGTGTTTTCAACCTAAGATCTTGGAGGAAGAATTCAGACAAATTGGAAATTAAAAAATTAGGTAAAGAGATGTTGGGAGAATTAAGACATTTTTGGACCTAAGGGAATAGATCAAGAAATGGTAATGACTTGTCATTCATCAATATACTGGCTGAAATTTGTGAAGAGTGTGTGCAAGCAAAGCAACACTAGGGTAAATTCAACAAATATGTGGGTTTTAGAACCAAACATCACTTGAGGTGGTGTATTCTGATGTGAGTGGACCGATGCAAGTTGACTCGATCGGTGACAAATATTGTTACATTCATTGATGATTATAGTAGAAAACTATGGGCGTATGTAATCAAGAGAAAGGATAAGGTATTTGAAGTGTTTAAGAATTTCAATTCCATGGTTGACAGGCAAAGCGATCAGAAGCTCAAAGTTCTCAAAACAGATAGTGGAGGCAAATATGTCTCATATGACTTTGGGAGATTTTGTGATCAAGAGGGAATAATACATGAGGTAGTATCACCCTATACCCCACATCAAAACGGTGTTTCTAAAAGGAAGAATCAATCAATTATGAACATGGTGAAATACATGTTAAAAGGGTAGAATATGCTGAAAGAGTTATGAGGAGAATCGGTATCCATAGTTTCCTATTTGTTAAATAGGTGTCTAATAAAGAAGCTTGATTAGATAACATCGTAATATGCATGGCCCGGATTCAAACTGAATCTGAACCACTTGAGAGGTTTTAGTTCTTTGGCGTATCGACATGTTCCGGGATAACTTAGAAAGAAGTTGGACGATAAGGGAGAATTGATGATACATGTTGAGTATCACTCTACCGGAGGTTACAAGTTGTATGATGCAGCAAACAAAAGACTTGTGATCATCCGAGACGTCATTTTTTACGAGATCAAGAAGCTGCAACAACCTGTAACCGGTTACGTAAAAGTTGTAACTTTTACAATATTGAAAATTCAGATTCTGTAGAGTTTGAGAGTGCAAAACCAGCCCCCGTTGAAACTTGAATTGAAGAGAATGTGATAATATCAACAAGGAAAAGAGGTTTTCCTCCAAGACTCTAAGATTGTGATATGCTCTGAGATAACAAAGTCAATGATGATGGTGATTTCATCCATTTTGCACTTATTGTTGAATCTAAACCCATTGAGACAGAATATACATTAAGTGATCCAAAATGGATTTGTACTATGAAGGAGGAGTTATAATCTATAGAGAAAACATTACTTGGGAGTTAGTTGATCTACCAGAAGGAAATAATTCAATTGGTGTAAGATAATTCTATAAGGTGAAGGAAATCCTAAGGGTGAAATAATCAAACATAAGACTTGATTAGTTACAAAGTATTTTTTGCAAAGAGAAGGTATAGACTTTGAAGAGGTATTTACACCAGTTACTAAAATTGAAACCATTAGACTAGTTTTTGGTATTAGGAATAACATCAATTGGTTCATCTATCAAATGAATGTCAAATCTGTATTTTTGAACAGACCGCTTGAAGAGGAAGTTTATGTAGAGCAGCCCCCTGATTTTGTTGTGAGAAACCAAGAGTTAAAGTTCTACAAGTTGAAAAAAGTATTGTACAATTTGAAATAAGCTTCAAGAGCTTGGACAAGAGGATATATGGTTTCTTAAAGAATATTGGCTTCAAAAAATGTGTATCCAAATATGGTGTGTATGTGAAGACGAATACAAGTGAAAGGGTGATTATGCTTTGTATATACGTAGACAATTTGTTGATTACGGACAACAACAAAAAAATTATTTTTAAGTTCAAGAGTGGGCTTGTCAAAGAGTTTGAGATGACTGACCTTGACCTTATGGCACACTTCCTTGGCATTGAGTTTCACAAGTCCAAGAACTACTTGTGCTCCAAAAAAGATATGTGCTTGATATTCTAAAGAAGCTTGAAATGGAGCATAGTAATATTGTTATTACTCCAGCTGAACTTAGACTAGTTGTCAAAGAATGAGGATGAGAAAGATGTTAATCCAACTCAGTATATGAGGCTAATTGAATTCTTGTAATACTTGTGCAATACGCGATCAGATTTGGTGTTTAGTGTCGGTATTGTGAGTAAAATTATGGAGAGGCCGAAGTTGTCTCTGTTGGCAGCAGTCGAGAGGATTATAAGATACGTTAAATGGTCTATTGACTGCAGAATTCTCCTTCCCGCAACAGACACATGCATAAAATGCAATTTTCTTGATTTTACAGACTCCAATCAGTGCAAAGATAAAGATGATTGAAAGTCTACAGATGGATACATCTTTATATTTGGTAGAATGTCAATCTCATGGTGTTCAAAGAAGGAACCGTAGTAGCACTCTTGTCTTGTAAGTTCGAGTACATTATCGCTTTGTTGTGTGCATGTCAAGCCGTGTGGTTGACGGATCTATTGAAGAAGATGGACAGCAATGAGGGTAACGCTGTAATGCTCATAGTTAATAATGTTTTTGCTATAAACCTTGCTAAAAACCCAATTGCACATGGCAGGAGAAAGCATATTGAGATGAGATTTCACTACTTTAGAGAACTTGTTAGTGAAGAAAGGTTGAGATTAGAATATTGTAAAAGTGAAGACTAAGTGGTTGATTTGTTGACCAAGAGAGTCACACTTGAAGTGCTCAAGAGGTTGAAGATGAACATGAACATGGAAGACTTTGAACACTTGAATTAAGGTGGCGTGTTAAAAAAAAATTCATAATTCAAATGTTGTAATCGGTTACCACAGACATCTAACTGGTTACAGGTATGACAAGAAGTCAAATAAGGTGAAGAAAAATGATTATGGCGTTAATGTAACCGATTACGCATTTGCAGTAACCGATTATCACTATTAGTATTTTTCCAATTCTTAACAGTTGTAATCGGTTATAGATTTTGTGTAATCAATTACACGCGCACATTTTTTCAATTTTTTAACTTATGTTGACTTGTTTGTGTCTCAATCCATTTGTATTAGTAATATATATACCTTGATGGTATTATGAATAAAATCGGATAAAATATTTTCACCCTCAACTACTATCTCTCTTTCATTCTCTATATCTCTCACTCTCCACATTTAAACCCTTCATTATCACCAACCAACCAATTCTAAGTTCTAACATTAAAAAGTTAGATATGTCATGATTTGAGGAAAGGTTTGATGATAAAAGTATTGCAAAAAAATTGAATTTGAGAATATCATA